ATAATATTTTTGAGTTTTGATTAAATGTAATACAGGTTCCTGAATGTAACCCAATCAGTTTTTTTTTCAGCCCTACGATTCCACAGTGCCCTTATCCTCAGGTCTCTTCGTGGCACTCGGGCTTCCTAACTAAACTGATTGGACACAGCATCCTGACTCATATTTAACCAGAACTTCAAAATAGAACTTATATCAGATCTACAGTAATAAACACAATCAATTTTCGGCCTCAAAAAATATAATAAAAAAATATACCAACAACCTATGAATAGGACGCAACAGAGTTTTCTTACCTCTGTTACTCAGGAATTCGAGATAATATGAACAAAATCAAGCACAGAGCCTACTCAGATCATCTGAGATAGTAAAGGGAGTTTAGCTAGAACATGTTTTCCCAAACCTAGCTCTGATACCACTGGACAAATTGGAAAAAATTTCAGAATATAAGATCGTTGGCTTGGGGTCACAAAGAGCTTTTGCCAATGTAAATTAAAACAAAATGAAGTTGAAAGAAAACGATCCTATATTCTGAAAGTTTGTCCAGTTTGTCCAGTGGTATCAGAGCTAGATTTGGGAAAACATGTCTAGCTAAACTCCATCATATAGTGATGATTGGTGCATCATTCCATCCACACCAGATTAAAGGTCCGACAGAAGAACGAGGACTGCAGGAGACAGAAGAACCAGATACCCTAAATCCTAAAACCGAAACTTTCGTCAACGAAACTGCGGAGGAAAATGATAGCTATATACTAAGAAGGCTTTGAAGAGCTATCAACAAATCTAATGGAATATTCAACTAGGTAATCATATCTTCAACTTGGATGCCCTAGTGGTCCTATTGTAGGATCACCATTATGATATCGTTCCCATAAGATTTGTTGATAGCTCTTCGAAGCCTTCTTAGTATAGCTGTCATTTTCCTCCGCAGCTTCGTTGACGATAGTTTCGGTTTTAGGATTTAGGGTATCTGGTTCATCTTCTGTCTCCTGTAGTCTTCTTCTGTCGGACCTGCAATCCCACCGCCTTCCGTGAATGAAGTTTGTTCATTATTATGCGCATTTAGATATAGGAAGAGGGAGAAGTCATCATCTTCTTCTCCATCGGATGCATTTTCTTTGCATGATATTTGGAGGACTTCTTCTTTTTCAGAGTAAGAAGTATCCCAATGGGGTTCTTCGTCCCAGATAGACTCATTTTCAAGGATGACGAGTATAAGCTCATCCTCTTGCTCCGAGGATGTTGAGGTTTCCCTTTTTGTGGATGATAGGGGTAGGGATGACTTAGCTGAATAATCGGTGAAAGAAAGACGGAGAGTACCGTCAATCCTTTGGGATGTATGGAGTTTTTGTGGGATTTGGATCATTTGTTGTAAGGATGGTTTAAGATTCCAGGTAAGCCCTTGAAGTTGATTGATGGTGTGTCGATTTCCGGGAATAGCTGTAATACCATGAGATGCTAGGTAGTCTGCGATCCGTATTCATGATACGTTGTATCGGAATCCAGTATGGCTCGCGTTCGTTAGCCTTGAGATCAAGGCTCTTGTGATTAATATGTTTGATTCCCCTCCTTGCCTTTTTTCGTAGCCATGAGTAAGGACGACCAATTCTATATGGTTCATGAAATCGTGGATTGACATCATCATGTTTGGTGTAATGTACACCAACTGAGTTCCAGCCGATAAGTCCACCTCCATTGTTCCGATTATTGAAACATCGGACCTCCACCGTGTATCTCGCCGGACAAGTGATGGGTGATTCGAGCGACTCCCATAAGATACTCCAGTGTTCGTTGGCTGCTTTATTGGAGCTGACATCCTCTTCTCCTGGTGCGAGGAACTCAAAATGCTGCCGTCCAAAAGAGTTGTCGATAGAAACCCATTTCTGTCTTCCTGTATTTCTGGGATCCATTCTGCAAGAAATTTGTTAATTTCATTCTCTTATGGTTCAAAACCTGCACATAAAATAAACTTTAGCTTTGAAAGGTTGTCGACGAGGACTTTGTCTTTTTCGTCAATATGTTCGAAATTAACGGTGATCCCCAAGCCATTGATGAAGTCTGTGAATGCGAGTCATCGTACCCTAGATGACTTGTTATGAGCCATCTTATTGTAGAATGAGATGATAGCTTGACAATCAGTGTGCAATGTGAATTCGCTTTTGTCAAGGTAGTGGATATAAGCGACATGTGTTGTGACATAAAAGAAAGTTGAGATTACATTGAGATTTCCTAAGATAAGATAAGGAAACTTGGTTAAAGTGATGACAAAGCCTCATGATTTGACCATGCAGGGCAAATTAATTCTAGATAAAAAAATGCATATAAAACATGTACTTTTCAATATTTGTTTGATACTTAATCTTATATATTTCAAAGGGTTTAACACTTATGGTATGGCTTTTATAAATATTGAAGGTTGTTGAAGACTTATTTGATCACTCATGGATGATAGAAAATGTAGATATAGTCACAATTCATATCATGATAACATTTTTTAATGATTTATGTATCCAGTTTTAATAATTAAAAAAAAATAAAATAATAATAATAAATTAATGTTAAAAAAAATTTTCAACGCTATTGGCTTGGCTATTTGATTCAAATAATGCTTGAGCTGATTGAGGTAGGTTTTGGTTTTTTTTAATGATCGATGAAACATGCATTTTATTTGTTTATACTATGCTGTAGGTTGTGCTCAAATTTTCTTTAGAACATATAGAATGATGATATTCATATTACTGCCTAGACAGTGATAAAATGTAAGTTCGAATAGAAATGTTTGGTGCCGTAATATTATCGGCTTCAAAACGACAACACCTAAATTTTTAGAAAAACTCTTTAAACTTGCATTTTTAGATAAGCTTGTAGAGTTATTTGAATCTCGTTGTTTGTTTTGAGAAATCATGGCTTATTATGAGACAATTAATAATGCTGTTAGAGCCATTAAATTTGAATTACATATTTAATATCCACTCGTCATGCCAAAATTTTGACGCCTTAATTAAAATGGATATGAACCGGAATTCACGAATCTTGCACTATTGCTTAAGTTCATTAAATCAAGAGTGACATTCTAATGTTTTTTCTTTTCCCATAATTGCACTTTATTTTGAACCTAATCCTAAGCATGAATGTGATATTAAATCTAATAAAGCACCATTTGTTCAAAATTCTTTTATATTTCTCTTTTGTTCCAGTTCAATGCATTTCAAAGAATATTCATAACTATAATAGCATGTAGTCTTATCTACTAAAATTAAGTTGAACTCAATTGTTCTTTAACAAAATAATTTATCTGATTGATTAATATGCGAAAAGTTTCTATATGCCTCTTGTGAAAGATAGTCTAGATTTTACGTTTGCCTACTAATGAGTTATACTAATTTCCATCATTGAGAGTATTATCAATTCCTATTTTGAAATTATTTCTAAGATATTTACTCGAACAATTTTTTTGTTGCATTTCATCACCGATCATGAAACATACAAAATTTTCTGTTGCATCATTCATTGATCATATATAACATGAGTTGATATCACATTGAAACATTGAACCTTTTTATGATTGTTTATCATAGTGCTTATGGTTTTATTGAAGTATATTTTTATCTTTATATGGTTTATACTGCTATTATAATATATATTTTGTTTCATGAAAGATGATATATTTCGTGTTTGAATCAAATGAGACTTCTATAGATAGATCGCATTATATCCTTCAAATCCTGTGCAATAAACTATTGAGATCTTGTTGAAGAACAACCTGTTAAGTTTTTAATTAATTGGCCAGCTGATTGATATCACAATTATCTTATTCATATTCCATAAAGCTAAATGGGATTTGTTTTTGGAAGATTTACATGCATACCACTCAATTCTTATGTATTTACATATCTAATACCTATACTTCAGTTTTTGCATATATGCTGCCTTACCAATATTTGGAAAGGTGTTTTTTTTTTTAGTTCAAAAACTTAAAATAATGGTATTTTTGATGTGATATGAAAGATTTGGGTGGTAGAAATGTAAAATGTAAAGTTTAGATATTAGATATTTAAATGCATAGGAATTGGGTGGGGTATGTCTGTAAATGCTCCCTTTCTCTCATTTTTTAGGGTATCTGGCATGCATGTGTGGAAAACTAAGATTTAATAGTAGTGGTGGCTCATAAACTTGCCTATGATTTATGCAAATAAATAACCAAGTTTTGTTTGCTGGCCTGTTTGGGGCAGCTTATAAGTGCAGCGACATTTCAAAAACGCCGCCTAACTGTTTGGTTTATGCGTTTTTGAAAACGCTGCCTGTCGCGTTTGGGTTTTTTACACTAAACGCAAGCCGGTTTTCAGGATAAACTGCTTATCCTGAAACGTACAAGCTGCCCCAAACAGACCTTTAATAGTAGTGGTGGCTCATAAACTTGCCTGTGATTTATGCAAATAAATAACCAAGTTTTGTTTGCTTCTTATGTTTCTGAATATAGCTATATGGTCCTTTTTGACAGATAATTTCGTATTTTTGTAAGCATAGTTTTTTCTGTGAGAGCTACATTAAATTTGTAAAATTTTCAGAAATATAAATTTCTCAGCCTGAAGACTAAAAGTATTTACTCATCAAAGCATTTTGAAGTTATAATAGTTTTCAATTAGGCAGCAATATTAGAGGATAATTACATACATAACATTTGGAACCTTGTTATTTACAAAACTAGCACCCATACTGATGCATTTGCGAATGCCACAATCAGAACATCGGGAATTTGATAAGAATGAAAATCAATGGTTGGGGTTTTATTGTCAATTTAGATATTTGGGTGAAAATTGTGAAAATTTGAAAAATGGCTGAAATAGGTTGCTAATTTTGTAAATAACAATGTTTATATTTGAATGAAAATCTGAAAAATGGTTGAAATAAGGTGCTAATTTTGTAAATAGCAATGTTTGGAGTGCTTGCAGTCTATGTAATTTCCCTTATTTTCAATTGATTGATTTCACATTTTGCAGAGGCCATTTTGTGATTAAAAAGTTTGTTGCTACTTCATATGGGGAAAAGAAAGTCGAGAGCAAAGCCCCCTCCTAAGAAGAAGATGGACAAGCTCGATACTGTGTTTTGCTGCCCATTCTGCAACCATGGAAGCAGTGTTGAATGTCGCATGTATGGAATCTATCCGTCTTTCCCTTGCATATATACTTATTTTCGGCATTCACCAATTATCTATTTGCATTTCTAACACCCAGGCTTTCATATTTACATGCATAGCACTCAAATTTTTATCATCACATTGTGAAATACACACCATTTCATGTGCATAGGTTTATGACACCAAAGTGTTATGAATATAAATATGGAAGTTTAGGTATTTGATATGCAAATATATAAGAATTGTGTCGTGTGTATGTAAATTTCCCTACTTTGGAATTTTTTTCGGACTGGTTGAAGAAGTGTTATTAGATTTTTCAGCTTTTCTCTTTCTGTTTTTTTCTTTTTTGCAGTGATATGAAGAATTTAATTGGTGAAGCCTCTTGCAGGATTTGCCAAGAGAATTTCAGCACTACAGTTACTGGTAAGTTTGAAGCTAGAGGACTTTTTGAGAATTTTGATTCTTTTGGTTTTGAAGTTTTGCAAATTTACCGCTCTCTTTTTTCTCAAAAGAATAGGAATAAATTGGTTAATAGAAAGTAAGAGGACTTGGATATGTTTGATACATTGATTGAAGGAAGATTTACGTACATAATTATCCCTCAATTAGGTATAAATATAAAAGATAAAAGTTTAGATCTTTGATATGTAAATATGGAGGAAATGGGGGGTGGTCTGTATGTGTAAATGCCCCCTTGCTTGAAATGTCTGTGTACTGTCTAATTAGGAGTGCAAACGATGGGAGTCAGTTTGGAGCTAACCCTAACTTGAGATTGAGCTTGATTAATTAATTGAATTTGGGCATGATTTCGAGCTCAGTTCCATGACTTCAAATTGGCCCCCATGCCGGACTCATTTGTTATGAAAGAAAAAGATGGTTCCAATTCGGCTAATCATTGTATCACTATTATTAAAAGAATGATAATTCATAAGAAAAATTTAGAAGAAGTTAGCTTCACATAATTGGGGGCATTTTAAATTTTTAGCCAGCTTTTTTTTTTTTCAAATTTATGATTAATTAATAGCAGCAATTTAATTACATACAGACCCCCCGAAACTTTCTATTTACAAATCAACAAAACTCTTTCATCTATTTTTTAAATTCTCACTCAAATATATAGTCATAATAAAACCCCAACCCATGCTTTTTCATTTTTATTAATTTCTTATTTTTGATCACGGCACAAATAAATAAATCGGTTCGGTATTTCAAAAAAATCACCTGGGTGATTAATTTGTAAATATCAATGTTTGGGGAGGTCTTTATTTAATTATCCCTAAATATTAGTTTAAATATGATAGATAACTTTTTAATCAATTTCTCACAAATTTCATCTTTCACAAACTAATCTTTTTTACAATTTTTTTTTTCTTTTGCAGCATTAACTGAACCTATAGACATGTGAGTCAACTTTCCTGAAATTAGCTGATAATTGTTTGAACACACCATGGATCGATCTCATCGTCTCTAATCGATTCTGTTTGTCGTGCTGCAGATACAGCGAATGGATCGACGAATGCGAGCGGGTCAACAATGTCGAAGACGACGGTGCTTGAATGTAGTTTCGCTCGATCGAACCATAAGGAATCTGTGACTTAAAATAAATAATCTTTAGATGTGCATAGTTTGTAGATTGTGTTATTCTTCCGTGCTTTCTTTCCTAGAGAAAATATTGTATACTTACAATGTATGTACTTACAAGGGTGGATGTAATGACCACGTCACATATAATAAAATTATGTTGACGTGACCACTTCATCCATCCTTATAAATATATACTTATAAAGTGTGCGATATTCTATCCTTTATGACATTCATTTCAGGATATGTAGGTGTGTTTTTTTTTTTTTTTAATATAAATTTGGTAATTTTGAAGCTATGAATTTAACTGCCTTGTAGAAATTGAATTGTGTTTCAGTGATTAGTAGAGCTTTTCTGTAATAGGAATTGTCAATGCCTGATCAGAAATGAATGGCTGTGATTGCTTTGGCTTGAATCATAGCCGGTCAGCATGGCTCGATCAGGCTAATCAATGTGGGCTTAAACCACCCATGTATGGTTAATAATTTTTTGAAAAAATTACAAAGATATTCATGTAATTACATTGTATTTGCATGCCTCATATTTATGTTTTGTAGAAGTGTATTGTTTGGATATATCCAGACTTGAATCAAACTCTAAATTATTAGAGTATTAACTTAGAATCCGATTCGAAAATTATAGAGTTCAGCACAAAATTTAGATTTTTTTGAGTCAAACTGATGTGTGGGTCTCTCATAAATTTGTGATCTTTCAAACAAGCTATTGCAGAACTAAACTTGTAGATTAAAATGATGATTGATTTAATCCTAAGATGGATATCATCAAGGAACATGAATGCTTTCTTTCATTACTGTTAAACATGTAAATTCATAGGATTTGTGTGGCGTTTCTCTATCAAAAAACTAGAATAGTGATTTTTTTTTTTTTAATGAAAGATTTAGGCAATATAAATATAAAAAAAATATAATCAATACAATAATCAAGGCGAGATGAAACAATCAATCTAACATATGCATAAATGCTCCAATTGAAAAATGGTTGTTGGTTTTTCTAAACGAACTGCGATGCAATTTCGCACCACTTTCAGACGTATCATATAACTATATTATACTTATTTTTTCAATAAAATTATAATAAAAAGTTATATTTTGCAACATTAAAATAAAATAAATTTATAATAATCATCAAAATTTGTTGAAAATCAATTTTACAATAACTTCATAACTGTTTCTTCAAACTGTTAGTCGTAATATAACCACAATATTATTTGCAATCCATACCATTCTAAACGATTAAAATCTGTTGAATTACAGCCCCACAGAACATCACAGAAAGCGTGTTACAAGCAATTTCAAGCAAGCAAATAGATGTACACTTGAAAAAAACACCAAAAAAAAAAAAAAAAAAAAAAAGTTTTAAATTTTTTTGAAAAGGATTTTTTTGCAAAAAAAAAAAAAAAAAAAAGTTTGTTACAAGGCATGAATTAATTTTGTGAGATGTCAGCCGCAGCAGCCACCAGCCTGGGAAGCAGATCCATCCCTCCCTCCAGCAGGACCTTGGATTCCTCCATATCCAATTTTGATGCCATAAGACTGAAATAATAAAATGTAAAATAAATAAAAATCATATTTCGATTATTAGAGGCATTTATTTACAAACATACCAACCAATTCCTATGTGTATTTACATGTGCAACATTTAAAACTTTGCCTTTTACATTTATACCATTCTAAATCTTTCATATCAGTTTTCATGCAAAGGTAAGGTGTCATATATATATAAAGATTTCAGTAGATTTCAGTTTAGAAGTTAGATATGTAAATACATAGGAATTGAGGGGTATGTATGTAAAGCTTTCCCAAGATAAGCCCTTCCTGATTTTGAGAACACTGTTTGTTTTGATTGAGAAAAGTGAAATATATGAGATAATGGATATTTGACTAAACAAAACAAAATTTATATATTTCATGGATTTCAAAGTTCATCCAATGATTGCAACAAATCAATTCGGAGGGAATTTCTTTTTCTTTTTTTTTTTAAATAACTCTAACTTACCATACCAACATCATTTGATTCGTTTTATATAATAATACAACCAACAAATTTGTTTTTAATTGAACATCTATAACAGATAAAATCTAACCATTATTTATAAATAACAAATGGAAACAACAATTTGTTAGATCGCAGTGCCTGTGGCCAATTAGTCGGCGCTGTGCTCGCAAAAAAAATTTGAAGACTTATGTTAGGTCTAAGACAAAAAAAAAAAAAAAAAAAGGAAATTTAATCATTTGTCGGTTATCATTTGTCGGTTATTACTGTGGGGTTATAAATCGGGCTAATAAGTTTAGGGTTATGTTATGTGTGATTGTTGTATTGAATCTTAGGGCTAGGATTTGGCAGAAATTGCCTACCTCTCGAATTACAAGTGTTTATCATTTATGTATTAGGTTATGGTTTGGGAGAGATCGATATCTCTCGAATTAGTGTTTATCATTTATGTATTTGGTTTGTGTTGTTTTGTGTTAGTGAGATGAAGTATCGTGTTCGCCCTAATCTCTGTGGAAATTCATCTTTCCTATCAAATTGATATCAGAGCAATTGATTACGGGAAGCCTACGGATCGCAACGTGTATTAAGTATCGACTTAACTAGAAACAATTGCGAGTCAAGCTAGTTGGAAGCAATGAAGGGGTCGTGGCGTACAGGACGTTGCATTCATGACTAGACAATGCGAAACAATCAAGCTTCGAGTTAGCTGGAGGCCAACAAAGGGATCGTGGTGTACGATCACGTCCCTCCATGATCTAACATTATCATACAGTCACGACTCTAGCCAACGACAGGGTAGCAATACACTCTAGATAAGCGGGACAATATGCTTTCATGACCAAATCGATACAAGCACAATTCAAACTTTAGTTGGGAAGCTAACGATGAGTTCGTGACATACAGTTCTGTTTTCGTAATTAAAAACCGTTTTGAAAGTAATGACCACCAAGAAAATAGATGCTTTAGAGGAGAAATTATAGAGAGAGTCAAGGCAAATCATAGATGAAATGAAAGAGCGCTTCTTGATTATGGAAAGGTGGCTCTTGTCCGTGGAGGGAAGATTTACCCCTGAAAGAAATGATGAAAAAGATCACGGAGTTTCACGCAAACCCACCGTCTCCCACCACGAAATCGAGTGATGACGTTTAGAGTGGAGATTCATAGACCTGGTAGAAATCACAAAGAGATCATAGAGATTCACGCAAACCCACCACCTGCCGCCATGGGATCGAGTGATAGAGTATGGGGTGGACAAAAGCGACAACAATCTAAAGGACTTGCGTGGCATCCAGACTATTGGAACAAATAGAAGCAGAAAAGATCGAGTGAAGGAGTGGGGAGTAAATTTGAGTGACAAACATCTAAAGGTTTGGAATGAGCGATAATATGCAAACTGGGACGACATACAAATCAGGGCTAGAGAAGATCGACTTGTAGGATTTCAAGCTGGAACATGGAACCACGGGGGTGATCCTTGACAAGGGGCCATTTACAACGCAACCTTTCAGGCGTAAAGTTATTTAGGATCATATGGGGATGGGTGAGTTGATTATGGAGTGAGCTAAACTTATGAAAGAATAGAAGAGACACCTGATACAAAGTTTGTAGAGAGAGATTCCAACAATAATCTAACTGCTCCTACAAAAATTTATAGAGACTTTTAGTTGTCATGCAAATCGCCGCCTTGGAGGGATCACGAGCATGCAATAATCTTGAGATTGAGGTCCCCATTAGTGTGCGCTACCCCCAAACAAAGAAGGACGAGATCCAGAGATTGATCCGAAGATGTTGGAGGTCGGGAACATACAACTACCGCGAATCCCTTCTCACTAGTGAAGAAGGATGAGATTTGACATTTCTGTGTTAATTATCAGGTAGTGAAAAAGAAAATAATACCTAACACTTTTTTTCTTCTTGGTGATCGATGAGCTAGTGGATGAGTTGTTTAGGGTTGTGATATTTCCCATAATTGAGTGTTAGAATATCATCAGATTCAGATTTAGCCGGTCGATGTGCACAAGACTACATTTTAAGCTTATGAGGATCACGACAAATTTCTCATTAAATGAGAAACTGTTAGATTATGACGCTGCGTGGGAGATATACGATTTGATCCAACAACAGTTTCCTCTTTTCTAACTTGAGAATAAGGTGTTTTTTTGATAAGGTAGTAATGTTAGATCGACACCAATGACGTCATCCGCCTGGAGCACCAATGAGTCGATACCGCGCACACTAAAAAAGTTTGAAAACTTATGTCAGGCGTGAGACAAAAAGGGCAAATTAAGTCATTTTTCAATGATTATTATTAAGTATAAATAGGACTAATATATTTAGAGTTATGCTATGTCATGTTTCATTATTGTTTTGAATCTTAGGGTTAGGATTTAAGAGAGATTATCTACCTCTCGAATTGTAGGTGTTAGGAGTTAGGATTTGGGAGAGAACACCTGACTCACGAATTATTGGTGTTTATCCATATGTAATCGGGTTGTGTTGTTTTGTGCTATTGAAAGAAAGTATCTTGCTTGCCAAAATTTCTGTGAAAGTTCATTTCTTACCTATGAAATTTAAGGTTATATTATGTTATGTGTGCTAATTGTTTTGAATTTTAGGGTAAGGATTTGGGAGAGATCGCCTAGCTCTCAAATTGTAGGTGTTAGGATTAAGATTTGAGAGAGATTGCCATCTCTCGAATTGTAGTTGTTTATCCTTTATGTCTTCGGGTTGTGTTGATTTCGGTGAAAGTTTATCTCTTTCATATCACAATTGCAATGGGATTTAAGCTTTGTTTGGCATTGAAATTATTATGTCAAGCGTCGACAAGGTTACGATTGTATGGTAAAAATAAACAAATTTTACTTTTCAACTTTCACACAATTGAACTTTCGCTCTCAACTATCTTTCAAAACATCTAAAAATTGCTTATTCCCCACAAGAAAGAACATAATGGCAACAGAAGGCTATGAAATTTACACAAATACCTTCATAGCCTCATTTTCCTATCCCATTGCCAAAAAAAAAAAAAAAAAAAAAAAAAAAAACACATCTTTTATATAATTTATATCAAGAGTCATGCCTTATTCTCTTGTAAGAAAATCATAAATTCATAATAAATCCATCCACATACCTCATTCGAGACATCAAATACACCATCCTGAATTTTTTTATATATTGTCGCAGCAGTATTAATAAATGCCTGCACAATATTCAGAACATTAAAAAATGTTAGAAGAAAAAGGTGGGGCATTTACATGCGTACCACTGAAGTCCTATATATTTACATATCTAACACCTAAACTTTGTTTCTTACCTTTATACCAAAAAACTTTCATATGTCCTAAAAAATACCACCATTTTAACTTTTAAAAAGTGAAATGAACCTTTTCATGCATAGGTAAGGTGGTATGTATTTAAAAATTAAAGTTTATGTGCTAGATATGTAAATACATAGGAATTGAATGGTATATATGAAAATCGTCCTAAAACATAAGGAAAATTACAAACATAACACCCAATTCTTATGGATTTGTCTATCTCACACCCAAAGTTTTGATTTTTACACAATTAACACTTATGGATAAAAAGATAAATTTGACTATTAAAGGTGATAATGAGTGCTACTTTTCATATGATATTTGTAATTATGAAAGCTTTGGTGTGAGATAGGTAAATATGAAAGTTTTGGTTGCTATGTATGTAAAAACTCCAAAATATAAATGTCTCATAAATTTTATTTTGTACTCGCCTCTTCAACGTTCTGTGCAGTTTTTGCTGAAGCTTCCATAAAGATGAGTCCATGTTCTTTGGCAAACTGCTGCCCTTCCTCAGTACTTACAGCTCTTCTATGAGCAAGATCTGATTTGTTCCCAATTAACATAATTGTCATATTCGCATTTGCGTGTTGTCTCGCATCTTCTAGCCAGCTCGCAAGATGATTAAAGGTCTCCCTCCTGTACATCATAATGAGAAGGGGCTAAATAAAGAATCTTGAAGAAGCTGCTACCAAGTATTAATGAAATAAAAAGGAAGATTTACATACATGCCTTACCTACGCTGCCAGGCATGAAAAGGTGCATTTCACTTATAGAAAGTTAAAATGGTCTTAATTTTTATGTGATATGAAAGATTTGGATGGCATAAATAGAAAAAGTAATGTTGAAGTGATAGATATGTAAATATATAGGGATTGGGTGGTATGTATGTAAATGCTGCCTAACATTAAAAAAATGACAAATACCTGGTAATATCATATACCAGCAATGCACCAGCAGCTCCTCTGTAGTAGGATCTTGTAATAGATCTGAAGGATTCTTGACCTGCCTGTAGTGGATTGGATTAAAAAAAAATAATAATAATTTCTGAAGGGTGAAAGACAGCAATTTTAGAAGCATACTTGCAATGCCTGAGAGGAAAACCTATTATTAGCTTTATTAGAAACCGACTCAAATTATGCATAGGAAATAACAACGGAAATTTACATACATACCACACAATTCTTATGTATTTACATATCTAATACCCAAATGTTTGATATTTACACTTATTAACACCTTGGTGTCATAAACCTATGCATGAAAAGGTGTATTTCATTTTTTAAAAGATAGTGATGATGGTATTTTTGAAGCAATGTTAAAGAATTGAGTGATATGCATGTAAATAAAAATGTTTAGCTGTTAAATATGTAAATATATAAGAATTACATGATAAATATGTAAATGTCCCAAAGAACAATTTACATAGCAAACAGCTTTAATACGAGCCAAACAAATAAGAGATCAGCCATCATCATGAACAGATGGAAGAGAGCGTTGGTTGGCTGACAAGAGTGATTATTTAAGACGAAGTTTCTGTAATAGCGGAGTTCAGGGAGTTATTGATGTAAAAAATCTAACATCTAAATTGTAATAAGGGTCCGTTTCCGTAGGGGTGGCCGACCGCAGGGGTCGGCCCGCGGCCTGCGTTTAGTGTAAAAACCCAAACACAGTTTCTGATAATCTGGCGAAAAGCGCGAACCAAACGGTATGGCGGGGGGAGTTCAGGGAGTTATTGATGTAAAAAATCTAACATCTAAATTGTAATAAATTTATTTACCATAATTTAGATATATAACCCCCATATCATAATGTAGGCAACATACATATTGTTCAATGCCTATCCTCTCTCTTAGACAAAAGACAAATCTACAAAGTAACACAGGCATCAAATAGATCTAATCCAGCCTGTTTTTGTTAGTGCTAATCATAATTGAAAAATGAGCTTCACAATATTATCTAAAAGAACCAACAAATTCACTCTTTTTAAAAATATGATTGAAAAACAAACAAAATAAACCCATTAAAATCCTTCATTCAAATGGCAGTGAAGAATACACAAATGCAAATATTCAAAATTTTCTAGATCTATGTGGCATCATTCATCATAAAATAGCACCGGCACCCCACCTCATACAGCTTTCCAAATACCGTAGAACAAAACAGTACAGTCGAACACAAGGTCGCAAATCATCATATTATAGAAATGGTTTGCAAATATGCCACCAAAACTTTGTGTTGATAGTTCATAGTTTCATTTTATCTAATAAATCTTCCCGCCCCCAATTTACATAAAAAATCTCCATTCTACTCGCTATATCATAAACCTCCCCCATATAGTAAAAAAATTTTGGCTGCTTATTTTACGCATGGTTACAACCCGAATGTCCACGTAAACTTGCTGCAAGATCACACCTTGAGTTTTTATTGGTTACCTAAAAAGTATGTACCTCACAACAATTTCAATTTTAGGATCACATTTACCCCCATTCATTTTGGCAGTACAAGTAGGCCTTAGTTCCCTCTGCCTGTTCCTCTAACCCCTTCTTAACACTCATTCCAACATTAAAACCTAGGAAGATTTACATATATACCACTCAATTCCAATGTATTTACATATCTATGTATGAAAAGCTGCATTTCACATTTTAAAAGTTAAAAAGGTGGTATTTTTGATGCAATATGAAAGATTTGGGTGGTATAAATGCAAAATGTAAATTTTATATGTGAGAAATGTAGATACATAGGTCTATGGACTCTATTTCCAATACATCATCTCTACCACACTATCCCTATTCTGGCAACCAATTTTGTTTCTGAAATGTCTGCACCTTAGCTTTCTCATATCGATCCTCCCAACAATGTCATCTCCATATCCATTTCATTGAATTCCATCCCTCCACCATCTATTGGCCATTCTACAACCATACGCAAACAAATTGCTTCGCTTAAACCTAAATAAATATTCAACCTCAGCAAATCTCTTTCGCCACCTATTGATCCAGTTATTCTCAAGAAATTTAAAAAAAAAATTGAGAGCTACCATTTTGAATGAATATCAAGCCTTACAACAAGGCACTTAGTCTCTCGTGCCCCTGCACCCCCTCTCAGAACATAATAAGCTGCAAATGGATATCTAAATTGACATTAAATTCAGATGGCACAATTGTCATATATAAGGCTCAATAAATTGTTAAAGGTGATAAACAAAAACATAGAATTGATTATCATAATATCTTCATCATACAAAAAATGTGAACCATTAGTAAGATAAAGGCTTGTTGTTGTTGTTATAGTTATATATATATATATTAAGAAAGATATTTATTGGCTGAAGCAAGCTCCCCATCAATGGTTTCTAACTTTTTTCCTCTCATCATCAGTAACTTGGGTTCCAAACAACCAAAATTGAACCATCTTAGCTTCTTCATGTACAAGATGCTCATCATATATACCAATTAATTTATACAGATGATACTTTGCTCGCAGGAAATAATACAATCATCATAAAAAAAACTTATACAAGAAGCGGACTATAGAGCTCTTGCTATGACTGCTACTGATATCATCTAGTTTAGGCGTGTACTTCATAACTAGGGGTGTAAACGAGCCGAACACGAGCGAGCCCAGGCTTTGCTCGTGCTCGGCCGTGCTCGGCTCGTTTATATTTCGAGCTCAAAAAGTATGTTTGTGTTCGACTCATTTGTTTAGCGAGCCCAACACGAGCGTTCACGAACAAATAGTCGTTTTGACAACCCTAATCATGTAGTCATAAGATGTTAAGGATTTGGGCAAAATTTAAAACATTATTTGAATCTAATTTAATAATTTTTATTCTATTTTCTTAATTAATACTTTTAATTGATTATAAATCATTGTAGTCTTGCAGTCAATTAAATTTTTTAAAAGTAATACTCATAAATATATATATATACACTTGATTTGTAGTATTTCGAGCCAAAACGAGTCGAACACGAACGAACAAATATTTGTTCGTGTTCGGCACGTTAACTTAGTGAACGAGCCGAACACGAGCTTCTCAACGAGCTGGTCGCGTCGCGAACAACGAGCCGTTTTGACAACCCTATTCATAACTTTCACAATCCTATGAACCAACTTAACAAAACTTTATTATGACAATAAATTAGCTCTTGCAATTTCAATTAACGCAGTATTTCAAGAGAGGGCCAAACACATTGGAAAGACTATCATTTTATACTTGATTGTATCAAATCTCGAGAAATTGTTGTGCATCACATAAAAAATCTTACCACTACTTTGTTTCTTCTCTTATGACAAAAGCTGGCAATTAAAAATCAAATTGTTAAAAAATGGGGGATGACAGGTTATTGATGGTGATATGTTGAAAAAAATACTGGCATTTTGCAATTACCTTCTTTATAAGTATTCTTTGTGTTAATTTATAACACAAGGTCTAATCCTCAAATAGATAAAAATTTCTTCTGTTATAAAGTTTTAGATTCAAATAACTTAATGCTGCAATCAACTAATTTGACATGAATATGAAACCATTAAAAAATCCATAAATTTGGGCCCATAGAACGAATTAACAAAGGTTTAGGATCAATGCAGGCTCATAACTAGTCATAAAAATGTATGGCAAAGTTCATGGAGGTGATAACACGTGCAAAATATTGAAGGAAAAACTATAAATTCTTATCTAACAATATAGAGATCATATATTGTTACTGGCACGCCGATCAGCAACTTGTTCAGAAACAAAATAAAAGCAGACCAATGATCTAATCATCATTTTTAAGTGATCCATGACAACAATTTCGTAAAATATTAAGATTTATATCGCCCAGCAACACAATAGTGTGATCTAACATGCTTAGATATTGATACAATGAATGCTGAACCAAAATGTTGATCAATTTATTCATAAACTATTAATTCTACCAACAAGATAGAAGAATCTTGGATGACCATAATGATAAAATATATCAGAAGAAACTGCATATAGGTCAATCAAATTGACAAAGAATACTTTGCTCAAAAAGAACAAGAATTTTCTATATTTTTATTAGGATTTGCATAAAAACTCGAATTCCTACAAGCATTCCATGCACCATTAAACACTTTAATCGCAAATTAAACAAGTTAAAACACATACCTTTCTTGATTCTGGCTCAATTTAACAAAAATAAGGGGATAAATCACAATATAATGCTAGATTGTTGAGAAAAGGTTAAAAATGGATATGATAAAGACAATCTTTCCAAATAAAACTAGGGGAATGATCAAGATCAGATTTTTTTTTTATTTTATTATTTTTTTTATGAAAATTTTCATAAATACCGCCCAATCCTTATGCATTTACGTATCTAACACCCAAACTTTAATTTTTTACATTTATACCACCCAATCTATGCATGAGAAGGTGTATTTCAACTTTAAAAGTTAAAATAATGGTATTTTTGATGTGCTATGAAAGATTTGGGTGGAATTAGTGTAAAAAGTAAAATTTAGGTGTTAGACATTTAAATCCATAGGAATTGGGTGGTATTTATGCAAATGCCCCTTTTTTTTTAAACTAAAACAGGATAGTTTTGCATCATCAGCACCACCTCAGTATAAATATCCTGATTACAACTTTATAAAACTTTCTCAGGAATGTAATTAAGCCAACTTTACACTTTTGCAACCTGCGTACTACAACGCCATTGTAACAAAGTACTAGATTCCACAAGACAACTAACTTGATAATGTACACATGAATTCTTTTCGAAAGATCTAAATTACATTTCAACCTATAAACATCAGGAGAAATGAAATGCTTTAGTAAAACCTCGCTTAAAAAGTACTTCACCAAGATCCCTCAAACCTAAAAGCAAACCTTATCATATATAGCTACAATCCAAACATCTGTTTCTTATAAAACACAAACTTGCATACACAAATATCTATTTAATTGTATTTTTACAAATCTCTGCTTATTAACAAGATGCGACATATCTAGAAAAGCATAACGGAATGGATCTCCTTTAAAAAGTTTTCAGTGAAAGATTTTCTATGGCCAAATAACCACATTTTAAAAAGCTTAGGTGGGGATCTCAAAAAACATTTTTAATCCATAAAAATGTTGAAAATACATACCGTATCCCATATTTGCAATTTTATCGGCTTGTTATCAATTGTAATCATCCTAGCACCAAACTCAACACCAATAGTCAGATCATGTACAGGTTGAAACCTCTTGTCAGTAAATTGCAATAGGAGACATGATTTTCCAACACCTGCAAAGTAATTAGAAAAGATATTAAATTTCAGAAAAGAACAAACTTTCCAAACCAGCACCACAAAAATAAAATAAAATCACAAATTATAAACAATTATAAAAGAGAACTAAATATAGTTAAGAAGCCCACGGAATCGTATCATCCCCTAAGAGCAAGGACTCAAATTCTAAATTGAATTGCAACATGTTAAACAGTTTTTTAATCAGCAATTTTCCTCAAAAACCCACCTTTCTATTCTCATTAAATCAAACCATCAAAACAAAAAATATCAAATTAAAATTCCAACCAGTTGCATCAAGAATCAGATCACATGAAAAATGTCATGCAATTGGTTCACAAAAAAACATAGTTTTTTTCCTTCAATATCAGTTACATTCTTTAGAATCCACCCAATCTTTATGTATCTACATATCTAACACCTAAATTTGATTTTTTACATGAATACCTCCCAAATCATTCATCTGACAAAAAAAAAATGCCACTATTTAGACTTTTAAAAAGTGAAATATACCTTTCCTTGCATAGGTAAGGTAGCATCTAGGTAAAAATTAAAGTTTAGGTGATGGATATGTAATTGCATGGGAATTGAGTGGTATGTATATTAATCTTCCTCGAATTTAAACAACAATAACAAATTTTCATCAAAATAACCATTCATTAACACATAACCACAATCATTCATCAGATTCACACAACCAGTTCATAGAAGGTTCAATAAGCCTGTCTGCATCTCCCCTTCTAACACATTAACTTAGATGTAAGATAATATATTTTACTCATATATTAGGTCTCTAACATAAATATTAGATCCTTGAAGATCATTAATCTAACACATCCTTTTAATAGCAGCAACAAACTAAATTTAGGGGGCGTTTGGCAGCAAGGAGGATTTAAGTTAAATAGAATTTAGTAAAACCGGTATATCTGGATTCACTAAATCTAAATATCATTAAATCCGAAACAATGTTTGGTCAATTGAGGTTACATCAAGTTAAATCTATTTGAGATGTTTGGCATAAATCTATTTGAAATATTATTTTCCTGCGCTAAATCCGTTAAATTCAACCAATAAGTGAATTTAGTAAATCCAAATTTAATTAACGAAACAAGCAAAAATTGAATTTAACTTAACCACGAATTTATATAACTTATTTATGGTGTTTGGCAGGATTTAAGTTAAATCGCCCTCATAAGAATCAACTGGCGTGGCTCCATTTTAAGACAGTATTTATGCGATCGTACAATATTATATGTTCCCTATACAGAAAATCCCCCCATAAACCACAACTTCCCATCCTCATCCAAACCGAGAATCAACTCGTCATTAAAAGAACTCAAAACGTCCACAATATAACGTTTTCAGACCCCAGAAACAACTAGACGCAACTCAAAAACAGAATCTCATTCAATCGGTTTACAAAAAAAAAAAAAAAAGTATTTTTTCCATCAATAACCATAAATTATTTAACAATTTCACCGTCAAAAAGCAATTTTGATGACAGAAACCCATAAAAAAAGACAGAGAAACATAATTCCATCAGATTAACAAAACCAATCAAGAGAGAAGCGCACCTGTATCACCGATTATGATGTACTTGAAAAGGTAAGCGTAAGACATTCTTCTTCAGATCCGCCGCTCGACTTTTCCTCCGATCAAAATAGCGAAAGCATCCGCTAACCCTAATAGAAAGAGAAACCCCGGTCGGGAGAACGAATCGCCAAGAAGAAAACCGTAAGAGGAGGCGTGCGTAGAGGAGGCCAACGGGGGCTATTTGGATGCCGTGAATCCCTTGAGATTTCTAGCTTGTTTGTCCGCGAGGGCTTTGGGTAGGAGCGTAATTTAATAACTTGTTAAATAGTTATTAGTTTAATAGTTGTTAATAAATATATTATATTTTAATTAACGTCATTATAATTATTTTTTTCTAAATAAAATTTTAAATCAATACTTAATTAGTCTAATTATAATAAAATTAACTTAATAAAATTAATTTTAGAAATATTTACATGCAGAACACTCAAAATTGTGATATTTACAAAATAATTATAAATGTAATTTTTTTTGAACTAAATATTAAATATATTTACTCGTGCCACAATCAAATTATTGAGAATTTGATAAAGATGAAAAATATAGGTTGGAATTTTACGATAAATTGATGTCCAACTTCAATTCTAATGTTCTTGTTAGATAATCATCTAACAACTATCAATAACTTCTCCTAACATAAACCAAAAAATAACAACAAGCTCATAAACCCAAGCTAGGATTGCCTATTAAACTCTATCTTAAACTCAAGCTCAAGCTCAACTTGTAAGAATAACAATAGGCTCATAAACTCGCTCTTGAGCATAAGCCAAAAAAGTGGTGTCACGAGAGCTTACAAGAGACATCGACTAGACCAACAATTGACGAAGAACTCGCCATTAAAGCTCATCAAAGAATAAATTGATGTGAATAATAGTTAAATGAAAGTGTTGCCTTGTAAGTCATATTCTGAGCATCAATATGCCTAAACTTGAGCATTTTCAATGTACAAGCTCAAGTTTAAAGTAGAGCTTAAACTTGTGGCTTGGTAATCTCAACTCGCAAGTTCATTATTAAGTTTAATTCTAGATTTGCTCACTTACTCCCATTCATATAATGTTTACCAATGATGGGTGCTCAACATCTGTCAATCATGATGTTCATCTTTATAATTGCATGATTTTATCTATTATTATGTAAATGAACAACTCCATTTCTAATCATCGACTATACCAACCACTTTTTTGGTCACTTCATCTCTTCTAATATTAGAAGAATGATCAAGTTAAATAACCTTTCTCACCCACCTCATGGTTTTCATCATCATTCTTCTTACAATTTCTAAGAATTTATGTCTAATTGTTGACCTATATATCTTTTGAACAAGAATACTGATGCGACATGATGAGAATGACAAGTGATGAATGTGATGTTATGCAAATTAAGAATTTAAAAAATGCCTAATAAAGGCTACTTAATGATAACAACAAGCAAATAGAAGATGATGCGTGAATAAAGTCCAAACCACTTCAATCATCATTGAAATAAGATGAACAAGGCATGTTTGCATAACGAAGTGCATCGATGTATTTAGAGCTCCAAAACTTCTTGGAGAGATTGCACGATAAAGAAAACTCGTAAAAGATGTTAAAAATGTTCAAATTGAGTCCAAATTACTTTAATCAACACCAAAATAGCCTAAATGGTATGACTTCGCAAAATAGATTATGCCAATGCATTCAAAGCATTAAAATTCCATAAGAATATGCCTTTCGTGATTGTTATGATTAAACATGATGAAAAATGATGGACTACTAGCATGACATGCATGCAAGATTGGGGCCCAAATTACAATCATAAAACATGAGATTCCTTCATTTCATATAAAAATATCAATGTGCTATAATATGTTCAAAAGTCAAAAATAATTTATAAAAAAATCTATAATGAATTAAAATTAAATGCTATTGCAAATTTCCTTCCTCCACCTCAATCATCGTATAACTTAGTTTTCTCGAGGTTCTTATTGGCTCCCATCTGCCATGCTGGCATGAGATCCCATGATGTGGTTGGCCACTCTTCCTCCCATCCCTGAATCTGCCATGAGGTGCTAAGAAACCATTTGCTCACTATATAATCATCTTTTTCTGCAAAACTCTTTTCCCTCACTGACTCTGTTTCTAATGCTTTTCTTCTCAATTTGAACCTCCACATGCAAAGACCCGTATGGAGCAACTCCAAAGGAATACTCCACTCACAATGAAGTAATGTGCCTAAAGCAATCCCATCCCTTGTATCACAAAACTTTATTTTTAGGAGGAGAAAATGAGCGAACGTAAGTTTGCCCATTTATGGATTTAAATCTTATATATTTACATATTCACGTGTGTGTGTGTGTGATATATATATATATAATGAGTTTTATTTTTAAATAATTTAATTGACCACAAGGCAATAAAGATTACAATAAATTAAAATTAGTAATTTAAAATATAGTAAATTATATTGAATTCTACTAAAATAAATAATTTAAATTAAATATTAAGATTTATATCTTGTTCTACACTTAACATCCCACGGTTGTGTTACTAGGGCTGTTAAAATGAATCATTGTTCGTGAACAACCCGTGTTCGACTGGATAAGAAAATGAGCCAAACACAAATACATTTTTTGAGTCGATATATAAACGAGTCAAACACAAACAATGATATTTTTTAACAAAACAAACAAAAGACTAGCCTGGGCTCGCCCAAGCTCAGCCCGTTTACACCTCTAACAACTATGCGACTAGGATTGTCAAAATGACATTTTGTTTGCGAACAGTTCATGTTCAACTCTCTAATCAAATGATTCAAACATGAACAACTTTTTTTTTTTGTTCAAAATATAAATGAGTTGATCACAAACAGTGGTATTTTTTGACCAGCCAAACACGAGCTGAGCCCAGGCTCACTCGTGTTCGGCTCGTTTACAACCCTACAAGAAACAAGAAGAATTCTATAATACACTTACAAAGAGTAGAAAAGCTCCATACAAAATGCTAAGAGTTTTTTTCTGAATGGAAAAAGAAATTTCTAGACCGCCAGCTAATCCTATGTTCCAAAGATAATTGAGTCACTAATTATGTGCACTCGTATTTGATCATATATAATTGATTTAAACGTACCAAAACACAAATGCAAATACATTTCATTAGTCCATATATGATATATTTATATTAGTGTCTCAGATGCATACTAAGTACTATAATAGAGTTGATGATGATAAAGCGTTTCATAAGCTTATTTTACAAGTAGTTGACCTAAGCACATGATAGTATAAGTAACTATATATAATTATGATGACGATAACTTATAGCATTGATTTTTTTCAAGGGAAGAATCTTCGGCCACCAGAGCCACCCTCTCGCTGGCAATTGAAGTACGCAGCTGCGACTGGGAAACTGAGGTCGTAAGTATCTGCAAAGGCTTGTGTGCAGAAGTTTTCTCTTGCATTTGGAGCTGAGATAATATTCCTTCTATGGCGTTGTCGTAAGAGCGCAAAGACGATGCGATGGATTCCGATTACTGGACGAGGGCTCTCATACCCTATCAACTCACGCCCTGCATCCAAATTATCATTATTAGGAGCATTTACATACACCCACCTAATTCTTTTGTATTTGTATATCTAACATCTAAACATTACTTTTTTTATATTAATACCACCCAAATGTTAACATAGTGGTATTTTTATTTGATATGAAAGATTTGGACGAGATTAATGTAAAAAATAATAATAATAAAGTTTAGGTGTTAGAGATGCCTGTGAATATATAAGAATTGAGTGTAAAAAAGAAATGTTTCAAATTATTTATGAATTTGAAATCTAAGTCTAATATAAATACCAATAAAAAACTTCCATTCATTCTAACACTAATCATGAAGATAAACTAGTTAGGAGACTTCTAATGGATACTTACTTAAGAATGGTGAGACAATTATGATTCTTGAACCTATAAATGCCAATTGCATTATGAATATTAATCATATTGGAGAGAAATTGAGTAAAGATGACTCATTTCTTATCTTTAAGAGCGATGTTTTTTCACCCCTTCGTCAAATTCTTGATCAATATCTTAAATAAAATGAATTTTTTGCCCTTTGTTTTAAATAAAATTATTCTATTAATAGTGAAATGATTAGTATAAGTATCCAATGTAATTAGTATTTACCCAATAAAATGAAGGAATCTAAATGTTTTACTTTGAAATGTCTCCATCTCTCTTTATGTTTCCATCTTCAAGTGGGGATTCTTTAATGTTTAAAGTCCAATGTTTAAAGTCCTATTATTGTTTTGACTTGAGATTGATTTCTCCTTATCTTTTCCTTAACTAGTGGTAGGAAAATGTGAAATCACATCAATACCTTCTTTAATTGATTGCAACAATAATGATAATATCCATACTTCATGTTAATTTCTTGACATGTGTGGATATATAACTTTTTAGTGGCTGGATCAAATATGGATGACATGATTATTTTGGAGTGATTCTTTTCTCACTTATGGCTACTTATCAAACAAATTATTTTGAAGGTTACAACATTTGGATAGAGCCATAGTTGAGCTGTTAATTCAATGCATGATTTCAATCTTTATTTGAAAATTTGAATTATTTGGTTCAATGTAAAATGAATGTAGGACTTCAAAATTTTTCTGTTTTATTTGAAGTAAAGTGAAAATAATATAAAATACAAGGTTGAGAATGAAGAAGCGGGTGCAGAAGGCTGGCGGTGGTGGCGGGCAGACAGACAGTGACCAGCTACAGTCAAAAACGGACAAGCGAAAACTGAGAGTGGGCCAACAACAATTGAAAGAGGACAACTAGTGATTACAATGAGATGTTTACAGTAGTTAAACAAATAGTATATATGATTACTCTTTAACATCTTTAAATTTTAGCCATTAAAAAATTGCAATAGTTTCTAAAAGATATATGAGAATAAAGTACTAGATACTGATAAAAAGTTATATACTCACCAAAACTTGCATCTGTTGTTCCTGGGATATCTGTCACCATCCTGCATGGATTTAAAGAAAATATTGCAGTTTAGCTAGACATACATTTAGTTATTTACAAATATTTTAATAATGATTTTGAAGTTTTACATAAATACCACTCAACACCTACGTGTTTACATATATTCAAAACTTAAACCTTTGTTTCTTACAAACACGCCACCTTACATGCATGAAAAGGTTTACATCACCTTTTAAAAGTTATAATGGTGGCATTTTTGATGCCATATGAAAGATTTTGGTAGTATAAATGTGTAAAAAAGAAAGATTTTAGGTGTTTAATATATGAATAAATAGGAATTGTGGGTGGTAAATGTAAATTCCCCTATTATGTGCATGATGTGCATGCAAATCCTCCACTTAAATAAATATTATATTTGACCAAGATTTTTTACAGTTAAAATTTTTTCATCTAGATTGCGAACTAATGATAGTTAACAAGCAATGATTACTTGTTAATATAAAAGCACATTTAATTATAAGATTCTAGATCTTAATTTTAATTATGGTCCTATCTCGTGGATGCTTCTGAGGACAAAACATGCATCTATCTGAAAAGGAGTAATAGACTGACAGTGAGGTGGAGTACATTCCATGTTCTATCTTGAAGCTTTATTTACACTTTATTTAAAAAACTATTGTGAACTATTAATCTTTGTCTCTTCTAAAATTGTGATTTAAACTTCCAAAGTTACTCAACAATCACTTATTTGAAGTTTTAGTTATATTATAAAGTTTGATGTTTATATTTATAACATATTGGATTCATAATCTATGTATAAAAATGTATACTTTTAGCTTCAATCACATTGAAACTAGTGATTATTTATAAAAGAACAGATAGAACAGAGAGAACATAAAGATAATTTTAATCACATATTAGCAAAATATATATGATTAACATGTAAATTAAAAAGATGATCCTAACTAAACATTTTTTTGCTTGATTACTCAAGTCACCTTAGAATTAAAATATTAGGAGGTTAATTACCAGTGTAAGTATTCCTTCAAAGTTGGATTACTAGGGTTTGGCGCATCCAGATCAACCATCACCTTCAGAAACATAATAACATATTACTTTTTTTCATAAAAAATCAATCAAATAAATACATATAAAATCAACAGAAAAAAATATTTATAATACCAGAGTATAGAAAACACGTAGATCATCTCCTCCAATTTCAACTCTAGGGCGACTCACAACACTTGAAGACCTCAAGTTACATCCATTGGTAAATGGCCTATTGTTGAAGAAAACGCCAAACCTCACTGACTGATCAATGGGACCAACATCGCCTTCTAATGCGTTATTAAAAATAGAATCATCGTCAGACATTTTTTTTTTTTTTGCAGAAGTTGGGGAAAAAAGCAGGTGGAAGAGGTTGGTTAATGAGGATGGAGAGAAGCTTGCAATCTCTTAAATAGCTAAATGTGTGTGAGGAATAATAATTGAAATGTACAAGTTATTCTCGCTCAAAAAGTTGTGATGGATACGATTTATAAGATGAAAATAAATATATTGAAGAAAATAACAAAGAGATAATTTTTTTTTGTCTATATGCATGGTTGTACATATTAAAAAAATAATCTATTAATCTTTTTTTGAATCTGTAAATAAAAAGCATGCCAACATAGATCTTTTTTTGAATCTGTAAATAAAAAGCATGCCAACACAGATTCCAAAGATCCAACGGTCTAGAAGGAAGGAAGTACAACAAAAGAGGGCCCACCGACATAAGACCAAAATACCCACTTATCCAATTAGATTTAGCCATCTAAGCCAAGGCTGAAGGCCGATCGAGTCAAAAGAAAGATAAAAAGAACTTTATGAGTTTGAACCAGTCAGACTAAAACAAGAGATCTAAGCATATGAGCTAATCATAGAAAGAATGCCGTCGATCTATCTTCTGGTTGATCTGACAAGAGGAAAGGGTCCAATTTCTCAATATCACTAGCCGTCTCACGGATGCTCCCGAGACTCCTCATTATGATCAAGAATTGACATTACAATAGAGTCTTATAATCAAACGAAAGAATCCCCTCATCAAGGAATGAGTTATCTATGAGATTACGATAATTGATCTTATGCTCAATAGCCTAGTCTCATTCTGCCAATAAGAGATCATCATCTAGGGATCAAGGGTTGATAACCAAACTAGTTTGATAGATCAACAAGGCATAGCTGGTTAAGTCAGTCCTGCCAGCCTGAAGTTAAGCATGCTCATCTAACCGGTAACACCAGCTAAGCTTAGCTGGTCAGATCTACTCATAGTACCAAATTCATAATAGCCCAACTGATCAATTGAGAGGGCAGCATAAAATATTTGTAAAATACTGACAATATTTTGTACATCCCCAATTAAAGCAAAGCATAAATGTAATATCATTATATTGTACCCTCTCCCCTATAACTAGAATAACAACTTTGGAGGGGAAAACCAATTGTCAGAAGATAATCAATTTAATCAGACTTGTAATTGGAATAATAAAGGCTATTATAACGATGAACTTTCTTTTCCTCATCAATTTAACTTCAACCCACAAAATGAGGAGATTGAGTTATTAGAAGAGGTTGTTAATCAAATGGAGGGTCAGTTGGAGAGTCAAGGGACCACAATAAGAAATATGGAAAATCAACTGGGGCAGATTATTAACTCAATTAATAATTATCCTTAATTTAACTTCAACCCACAAAATGAGGAGGAGTTCTTAATAGAAAAGTTTGTTATTCAAATAGAGAGTAAGCTGGAAAGTTAAGAGGCCAAATTAAAAATATAGAAAACCAACTGAGGCAGATTTTTCAATTAACAGTTATCCTCCAAAGATTTTATTTAGTAACCTTGAGATAAACCTTGAAGAAAAAAATAGTGGGCAAGATAAATCCATCCAACTTGGAAGTGGAAGAGAATGGGAAGATATTGTTCAAATAAAAACTGAGTTGAGAAAAGAAGAAATGATGATTGAAAGACTAATGGAAGAAATTTCTCTAAGGAATTTGAAAAGCCTATTTCATCAACCAAGATAAATATAGAAAGACCATTTCCACCATTTCCTCAGCCTTAAGGGGAAGAATTAGAAGATCACTTGAGACAGAAGAATAATCTAGTAGAATTTTATCCAGAATCTGAATTATATAAAGAAAATCTAATCCAAAATTTAGGATTTCTTGTTTTATCATATATAGATCCATTTCTTATGAATTTTAAGAATTAAATAAATATGAAAATTGAGAAAATCATTGGAAGAATTTTGAATCTAGAAAGAAACATGAGGAAAAATAATTTTAATGAATCTGAAAAGAAAAAACTGAAAGAAATTCGTGGATTAGTAGGAATCCTAGGATCTAAAAAAGATTGGACGATTGATTAAGGATTACTGTCGTTCGCCAAATGAGAAAATCATCGGTTGCTTTAAAAATGTAATTTAATATATATATATATATATATATATATATATATATCTGTGTGTGTGTGTGTGTGTGTGTGTGTGGTTTGGAAAAGTAAAATACGAGATTGAACTGATATCATATAAACATGAGTTTAAATGATCGAGCGCAACACCACAATCAATACATCTATCCTGAAGAATTGACACATTACTTACTAGTGAGACTCTATTAAATAAACTAAATAATTTATAACATATGTTTTTTTTTGTGAAAACCTTTTATGTTTACTGACAAGTTCCTCTATATAATATAGAAGATTATATATGATTTATATTAAGTTGAGTTCATAAAATTTCCTATAAAGGCAATCCCCTATTGTCAATTACATCTTAAATGACTGAAATCAGTTAAGAAAACTCTCAATATAGATCAGAAAATAATTTCTTCAAGAATTTCAAAAGGTTGGGATTCTCAAGGTCGGACAAATGGGAGAAGATCAAGTTTGGAAAATTTTTTTATGAAATCCAAAGAAAGAAAGACTAAGTGATGCCACGGATCCTTAGGAGAATCTCGGTGACTTTACAAGCTATCCTATAGTTTGACTTCAATTTCGTTGAGATGTTATTAAATATTTCATCATGCCAATTATTATTATTTATGGCTTACATTTATATGACATAGTCATACAAATAGCCTGGAAGATTGGAGGGTTTATGTAACAACAAGTGACAACCTCAGAGCCTAAGGTGAGTTAGGGCTTAAATTGCACGATAAGATCATGCAAAAACCTAAACAAGAGTTAAGAATTTATGTCACACTAAGCGGACAACCTCGAAGTCCTATGGATTGTTATTTAGTTATAAGGAAGAAATTGTTGTTGTAGATCTGTTTGCTCTCTCAAAGTTGTTCTTTTGTACATCATTATTGTGTTGCCCATGGTGCTAACTCTAAGCTCTTTATCGAAGTAGCAATCCTAATGTCTAAGGTTCAGAAGGTTTAACCCTGTGTATATTTCAATGTTTTGTTTTGTTATGTTCAAATGTTTTATTTGGCGCGCCGGGGGGGG